AGAGCACAGGATGGCAGAGCTAGCTGCAAAGTACAATTGAGATCATCTGTATATTGGGATTTGGGAAAAGTCTTCTTGAGGAGTGAATGGGGCATCACCAGTGTGGTTGTTGATTTACAGGAAGCCCAGCCAAACTCAGGCCTGCTCCAAGCCTCTGTCATCTGTGCCTATACCATGTTTGTCACCTGGTTAGCTCTGACCAACATCCCTGGTGAGTAAAGGAGCTTCTTCTGATCCCTCCCCCAGATGGCAGGAGGCCGTGGGGAGGTGGCACCCACTCAGTAGAAGCTTGGTACGAGCATCGTTGCCACTTCCCCTGGCTTCCTGCCTCCGAGTAACCATCCCTTCTGTCCTCAGACCAGAAATGCAACCCTAACCTTCCAGCAATCACCAACACGACGAGCGTGGATCCTTCCAACGTCTACACTACACAGTGGTGGGATGCGCCCAGCATCGTCGGCCTGGTCGTCTTCGTCCTCTGCACCATCTTCATCAGGTAGGGTCTCTGGGCTCAGGGCTCTGGTCACCCTGCCCTCCCCAGATGCTGGGTCTGTACTGACATGGTCCTTCTTCCTTGGAGGACTCTCCAGGCTCTCCTGACCCTTCCCTGGGCATGCTGTTAGCTCCCCTGAGCATTAAGCTTTGCTGTCAGCCCTTCTTGGGGGGAAGTCTTTTTCCTCGTCTAATCCCGATTCCTCCAGCTGCTCTTTGAGCTCACTCCCTCATTCAGACCTCAACAAAAAGCATTCATGACTCATTCCTTCCATTTCACAGTCTTCAAAGACTATTCCTAAACTCCCACCAACCTCTCCTGTGGACCAAATTCCTACCTCTTTTTAAACACTCAGTATTATTTTTAACAAATAATTTATGTGCTGATCCAGATTTACAGGAAGCTATATATAGGATAAATAGGAAATAATAAACAGAGGGAAAGCTCTGGAATTAAGAGAAGTTGGGGAAGGCTTCCTATAGAATGTGGAATTTTGGTTGGGACTTAAAGGAAGCCAGGAGGCCAGTGTCACTGGATGGAAGAGTAAGTGTTGGGAAGTAAGAAGACTGGAAAGCCCGGAGGGGTCTTAGTTGTGAAGGGCTTTGAGCGCCAAGCAGAGGATGTTATATTTGCTCCTGGAGGTGATAGGAAACCACTGAAGTTTGTTGAGTTTGGAGAGAGAGAGAGACAGACAGACAGACAGGCAGACGCGATCAAAACTATTCTTTAAGAAAATCCC